TCCCCGAAGGCCCCCAGAGGCCCCCAAGATGCCCAAAAATGACCCTGAGCGCGCCCCAATACGCCTCCAGGAGAGCCCCACAGGCCTCCGAGAGGCCCCCAAGAGGCCCACTGGAGGCCCTCAGGAGGTCGTCCCCATCATGTTCCCGGAAGGCGGTCCGGGAACATGATGGGGGTAGCGCTTCAGGGCCATCCATGACGTGGCGTCCTTTCCAGTCACGAGCAGGAGGAGAAGGCGCAAGTAGTATAGCTCTCCAGCATTCGGCTTCACGTCCGCTGGCCCCGCGCGAGTGGCTGGGGTTGAGGGGCGCAGAGCGTAACGGCGTGCTTGTGTACATCGACGGCGCGCGGAGGAGGAGCCACTGAGAGCCACTAAGAGCCACTAAGTGCCACAAAGCAGGACCTGGATAGGAGAAGATATGATCCCCGTAGAGTACACAACATCCGACGAGCGTGCCTGCGACCCATAGCACACAAGCGTCATGGAGTCCACCAATTGCCCGCCGACGGTGCCTCAAACGTGTACTAGAACCTAAGCGCGCGCGTAGCGCGCGCGTGGTTCTAGTATATATATATATATATGTACACGACTGCGTTGGCGTTTCGCGCCATGCAATTTGGTCTTTGAAGTTTGGCATGCGGGCGGAACGGCAGGAAGGTCGAGCCGACAATTTAGGGATATTTCATTGTTGCCTTTTTCTGGCAACGCCGTTATATATATATATATATATATATATATATATATATAAAAGTTCGCTTTCCTTCATCCATGATTCGTCTTCCTCATTCCCGCCCTACCATGCGTATTCTCCTCATCCTCCTCTTTTTTTGCGGGGCCTCTTCCTTGGAGAGCCTCTGGGGGCCCGACGGAAGTTTACAAGTTTTCGTGAGGACTTCAGGAGGATTCCTGGGCGTCATTTGGGGGCCTTTGGGGGCATTCTCGGGCCACCCCGCCTCCAACAGTGGCCTCCCTGAACGACCGGGTCACGATTTGGAATGCTTCGGAGGGTGACTTGGGGCCATATTGGGCCGCCATGGGGCTCTCTTAGGCCATTTTGGAACCCTGTTGTGCCGTCTTGGAGCTCTCTTGGACGACTGCCTGGAAGCCCTTTCGGATGCTTGTGGTGCGATTTTCGAGCCTCCCAGGCGGCTTCGGACGCCCACAGACCGCCATCTAGAATCGTCGGGCAACCGAAAAGAGGGAAACCCCCCAAATTCATGAGAAACCATCAGGTAATCATAGAGTTTTGTGTCTTGGGGCCTTCTTGGGAGTGCTCTTGGAGGCCTCTTGGGACGTCTTGGAGCGAACTTTTAGGGTATGACGGCTTCTTTGGGGTCGTCGTGGACCGTCTTGGTGCTCTCTGGGGTCGTGTCGGGAGCGCGCCAGAGCGCCTGGAGCTTCTGGGGCCGTCTTCGGGCTTTCGTGGGGTTCTCCGGGGTCGTGTGGGGGTTCCCCGAGAAGCCTGGGGTGGGCCAAATTCGTTAGGTGGGGCGCTTTTCCTGGGGCCCCCGGCCTGAGAAAAAAATGTATGAAATAGGCATGTACATATTTGTGCACATGGTATGTGTGTACGTATATGACTACGTTTTTGTAATACGTATATGTGGTATATATGGCAATGATGTCATATATGTATGTATGCATGCATGCATGTATGTATGTCTGTATGCCTGTATGTCTGTATGTCTGTATGTCTGTATGCTTATATCTGTATATAAGTACACACATATTGATTGCGCGTGCGTCGCACCGCGCACGGTGGCGCACTCGAGTGGCCTCGGCAACGTGCCCCGTTGTGCGATCTTCGCGCGGGAGCCTCGCTCCGCGGAGTGGCGCGGCACCCCGCAGCGCCGGCGGACGCGCGCTCGCACGCGCCAGCTGCGGCGCAGTTGCGTCGCATCGGCGGGGGCCTTTGAGCCTCCTCCTCCTCCTCCTCCTGATCCTCCTCCTCCTCCTGATCCTCTTCTTCCTCCTCCTCCTCCTGATCCTCCTCCTCCTCCTGATCCTCCGCCTCCTCTTCCTCCTGATCCTCCTCCTCCTTCTATTCTCCTCCTCCTCCTCCTCCTCCTTTGCTTCTCCTTCTCCTCCTCCTCCTCCTGCTCCTCCTCCTCCTCCTCCTCCCAGCGCGGCAGCCGGCAGCCGCTGCGTCCGGTCTCGCGCGGCGGTTTCGATCCGCGACTTTGGGGGGGAGCGCCACGCAGTGTGACTCGGCGCGCTCTCGCGCGCGCAGGCTGGTCCCGCGCGGGGGGCGCCGCAGCTGCGTCGCAGTCGCGGGCGTCTCGCTCAGCGGCACCCGCACGGGGGGGATCTCCATGCAAGGAAATCCCCGTGTCGAGAGGCCGCCAGAGGCGGCAACCCAGTGGGGGCGCTCGTCCCGGCGGGTGCCGCGGGGAGCTCCAGGGGACCAAGCGTAGGATGTTCCAACCTGCTTGAGCCTTGACCGCCAGAAAGAAGTTCGAGCGCCCCAAAAGTACCGAAACTCAAGGGTTTTCACACGTCG